GTTCTCTCTTTGTAAAACGCTGCAGCATACATGGAGACAGACTTCCATAAATAAACGAAATGTGATGGCTTGAATCATTATTGTTTCATCTCAGCACCCCAGACACACTGTCTTCAGTGCTGCATGGATAGAGGCAGGCTACATGCATGACACCAGTAATTTCCTCGGCCAGCTGGTGGCCTGCAGCAGTGGAGACAGTCTTGTCGTGTTAGTCTGTGCAAGGCACAGATGGCATCAGTGCCTGGCTGGGAATCCAGCTGGGCCTGTTACACCTGGCTTTCACCATTAAAAATGCAAACATCCCTGAGTTCAAAGTCACCTCCTCTTTCCTTATCTGGGGAGAGCAGCGTACTGCCTGACCAACACCACTAGCAGGGTCACCTCTTCCCTGAACATCTGCAGCAAGCAAATTGAAAACATTCAGCCTCGCTGCCTGCTTTTGGGGTGGCAGCAAATTATCAGCCCTTGATTCACAGCAGCAAGTAGCTGAAGCAGCCTCTAATTCTGTGAGCCAAGTGTGCCATGAGGAGAAAGGAAGACCCAGTGGTTAAGTGGTTCCTAGCCCTTAGAGGACCCAGGGCAGCACTGTCCCTGCCACAAACTAGCCATGTAAACTGAAGGAAATTTCCAAGAGATTTGAAGAAGACATGAACATTTGAGAGTCACTAAAGCTCTGTATAAGCCCACTCCAGCCTCCTGCTCAGGTGCCCGTTTTAGGAAAGCTGCTATTCTACTCCCCTGCTGCAGTCACCTCCAGAAGGCAACGGACCCCATCCTCCAGCAGCGTGTCTCTCTCCACTGGGCATTCCGGGAATGGCAGGTGATTAGCTGCCTAACTTACGCTTGTCAAACATGTTTCCTAATGTTAAATGACATAGTACTGTGCCATTGATGGTGACTGCCAGGTACAGATATAGCTGTTATGGACGCCCTGTAGGTAAATGACAAAACATCAATTATTTTGCCTTTCACTGTAATGGAAGAGAAGGAATCCCTCTCTGATTTTTGTAGATCATAGGAAAGAATATTGAAAAAGTCACTCACAGATCTCATGTATGACATTGGAAAGACTGATTTCTTGTCTCCAAGACACATTCGTGTCTCCAAGAGACATTCAAGATGTGCGTCTACTTCCTTAATGAATTAATGAAAGTTTGCATTAAACAACAGCGGACTGAGTTTAGGCAGTCTCTTTCTCTCTTGAAATTAAACATTCTTCCTGTGGTTTGTCTGCTGAGTAGAACCACATAGTTCTTGTAGCAGATGTCAGTCTGAACAGCCTTGACACCACAAAGACATTTTAGACTATGGACAGAAAGTTATGATGTTGTATTTTCTTGGCTAATCTTAAGTGATCATCTAAGACCAAAACTGCTAATGCTAGGTCTCTGAATAATGACACCTTACAGAGATGTGCTTAGAGCAATTCAATAGCACTTGTTCATGGAAAAGGGTCCTCAGAAGGAAGCTCTCCTTATCTCGAAAATGATCAAGAAAATTTCTTACCTATAGCAAATTTCTAACCACCATAAGAAAATGTTTTATTTCCTTTCCTCCATTTTCTTTTTTCTCCTCCCTTCTCATCACCATCGCTCCAAAAGCATGACAGAAAGCATTAGACAGAGTGCAATGGCAAAGATACCATCTAGGAATTTCTCACCTTTTTGTGGGTTCCTTGGAATTTCAGTGACTGACTTGCAGCACCTGTCTGGTACGGATCTGCTGGGGAAAATTGTCACCTGAATTCTGTGGCATATGGTCCAGATAAAATCTGTGTCACACTGCAGCTCTGGGCTAGTTAGACACTGTTTAAAAAGCCACGGTCTCTTCAACGTGACATCCAACAGCCAGCCAATCATTCTCTTGGGGAAATATCTATTTGGTGTGTGTGGTCACTTAGACTTGAACCACTTCCCCCTTCCCTCTTTGTAGAGAACCTGTCACTGACATGGTTCTGGAAATGTTTTTTTACTACTTCTCCGTTCTTCAGCCAGTCTCACAATACAAAGAAAGCAAGAACTGTCTGTACAAAATTATACCTTGCCTCTTGCACTGATGCTTTGTTTCCTACTCGTGTCCCTGAGATGCTCTAGCTTCACAGCCATTAAAGAGGATGCCTTACTGCTGCTGAGGGCTACATGGATTGAGAAATTGTCCATCCTGTTCCATAACGCCTGCTCATGATTTCACAACCTCCCTCAGCACAACTTCTCATCCCCCAAGGGTCTATTGCCCCTGCTAAACTGGCCGTAACACACCCATCACCACCGTGTCCTCTTCTGACCCACAGCCTTTCCCAACGCAAGTTCCCACCCTACTTAGTCCCTGTTGCTTCACACAGCGTTTCCTAGAGGAGGGTCCACTCAAACTCCACAGCCTTACCTCAGCAGCTGCAATTGCAGAGCCTCTGCGTGTGCTGCCCTCAATACACAGTGCCCGCTTCTGGTGTCAGGAGCTCTTTCAACACAACCTCACAGCCCACAGTATTACCTGCCACTTCATACTGACTTTCAGCAGAGTCCTTCACCACACCTCGGGCACTTCCGATTTCACAAAATCCCTCAAGACAGCCTCCAGCCTTGTACCTTCCATTTCCAGTTTCACAACTTCCCCCAAACGGTGCCGCAGCCCCATCCTGCCCACACATCTTCACCACCTCGTGTCTATCAAGCCAGCATTCACTACCCACCCACACCACTTCACTCATCTTCTCACCATGCACGGTCCCTTCACATGCATGAGCTACCACCACCGTGGTGTCCAGATCCACGTGCCAAAGCAAGTGGAGTGAAAACTTTCTCCTTTCCTGGCAGTAAGCACATTCTTGTAGGGAAGTATTTTGCAACAGGAGATACCAGCGACTCTTGATTTGGGCTTGTGCATGATGTCACTTCTGCTAGTCCATTTTTTTTTGCTAGGGAAACAAAAGGAGATGAGTATGATGCTAGCCCAACTGCTGCCATGTGTGTCAGTGGGTATGAAAACTGGCAGATCTGTCCCAAACTAGCTTAGCAGGCCAGATACCTTCATCTTTAGCTTCTTCTGTCATTTGTTGTTCCTCTTCCTTTCCCAAAGGCTCTTTTTACTTTCTTACGCAATACTTTGCTATAGTAACTACTGTTAACCCTTATTAACCGGGCCAGGACTCCAGGCTACAGCATGAGATGATATTTAAGCCAGAGGACTATTTTCACACAGAGAAGTATTTAACCTCCTCATTAATTTGGGGATTTCCATTTTCACTGCATGGATCGCTGGCATTGTGTTGGGAGACGGTTTCAATACCTTGGGTGTTATTAGGCTGTTCTAAATCTCAAGAAATGTCAACAAACCAAAGTAACGGGCAGTGGATGAAACTATTTAGTGACACCTATAAGCCAGAAGCTAAAAATACACAGTAGACTTCAGAGCAGTGATGAATTTGAGTTGAACTGCTGCATGAATTGGCATAACGGTTTGCTTTGTTGTGTGTGTATCAACTGCACCACTCAGCTTGGTGTCATCTGCAAACTTGCTGAGGGCGCACTCAGTCCCTCTGTCTATATTAGTGATGAAGATATTAAATAGTATTGATCGTAGTATGGACCCTTGAGGGACACCACTGGTTGGTGGCTTCTACTTGGACATTGAGCCATTGACTGTAACTCTTTGGATGTTGCCTTTGTCTGGCCTAAGTAATTTTGTTCAAAATCTAGATGTCTGTTTCAGACCTAATCTCATCCTAAAATCAGGTTTGAGGTAGATCAAGTGAGTCACTTCTTTCCATAGGAGAGCCTAGAGCGGCAAAGACTCAACTCAGCTGACTTCCGTAGGCACAAAAGAGCCTCCCTCGGTTTCCCCATTTACAAAAGAAGGTTTTTTTTTATGTACTCTGTAATTTGCTGACCTTTGCTAAAACGTACAAGATCTTGCAAGAGGCTTTAGTCACTGGATTGCCAGTGATGAAATGTCATGCAGAATAGGACTTGAAGTGTCATCAAGAGGTACCCTAGGCCATCTCCTCTCTTTGTGAAAACTTAACTTAATCCTAGCCAGTACTGAGAGAAGTGTGCCTAACCTGCCCTTTAAAAGATTACCGTGACAGGTAACTCTTTACCACCTCTGGCTGGAACCATGCACAGAGCTAGTTCTGTAGTCCCAGGTTAGGTCAATTTGTTATTTTGTTTCCCATTAACGACCTGAGATTTTTGGGAAGAATGCTTGCAATACGGAGATGCTGCAATTTCTCATCCTTTTCAAAATGTTAGCAGTCCTTATTGTATTTATTTTATTTTGCAACTGATTGCATTATATCGTATACCTCTAGCCTGTCCCTGAAAAGATACCTTAAGAGGTGAGACATGTGGGAATCTCGTACTGAATTATCGGTTCTAGTCATCCGCTTAGAGTCAAAAACAAGAAATAGGCACCTCCAGCATGTAATTCATCACATCTTTAAGTAGACACCTTAGGCTGGTCATGAATTGCCCTGCAAAGGCAGAAAGAAGAGTCCATATGACTGGCTCGGATATAGGTGCTGACACGACATCAGTCAACGAGATGGAATGAGGCAGATGAATATATTGCAGAATGCAGTTTGGTGGTGGTGAGAGCGGCCACACAGTACAGCTGTCTGTTGTCAATGGGTTGTATCTTTACGATCCTTTCAAAAATATACACCTTGGTTTAGCTTAAGAGTTTCCCACCTGCCGTTCTTCAGGAATATCGTTTTCCTTGATCATTTATCTCTTGGTCACTCCTTTCTGAGCTGCTGCTTGCCCAAACATGACACCCAGACTGGTGGGGTTTGCTTCCAGTTCTGCTCTGGCTTAGATGGAGCTCAGATGTTTCTCTTCCCCTGGCTACTGCACAGCCATAAATATGTGCCCTTTTTGTCCTTTTGTTTTCTTCAGAAAACTGTGCCAGCGCTACGTGAAAAGAGGAGGGACGGGAAAGATCACAACTTGGGAAGACTAGGTAGAAATCGATATCACATTGTTCTTATTAATCTTTTTTCCTTGGAGTTATATCAGAAAATAAATTATCCATGTAAATTTTACTGCCCTTCTTGAATATCTTTTACCTACTCTAAGTACTGCTGTAAGCACAGGAAAAGTCCCTAACTTTCCCAACTTCCTCTCTAGGCTTTACGTTGTGGGTTTGAGAGCAATTTTGGTTTTTCTCCATTTTAGTGTTTCCTGTGGATGCTTGATCAGGTTTTGCCTGCACAAGAGTTTCTGAGTTTGCTGTAATTTTAAATAGGTGCTAGATAATTTGAATTAACAGAGTCATTCCACAGATCTGCTCAGATCACCTGCACGAACAGGGAGAACTGATGTGTTTTCATAGGGCAGGACTTGCAACGGTGACTTTTAACAGCAGTTAGGAATGTTTTGATACCAGGATGAATCTCATACAGCTGATAATTTATTTCAAAGAGGTGCCTATTTTTGGTTAAACTCTGTAAAGAGTAATTTAGTGGTTTCCAGGCTTCTTTGACCTGGGGAACTCTGATATCTGGGTGTATAACAGCAAGTTGGCAATGTTTAGGGCTAAGTCTTTTTAAAGACGTAGATTATCTGTTTACTAGTGACATGTACTTCTCTGGGGGCTACAGCAGGAACAGCTCCTGTTTAAGAGACATCTTTACTTCAAGAATATCTGATTGCAGAGGTAAGGTGAATATAAATCTTGCAAAAGGCCAGGTGTGATGTTTATTTCAACCAGGAATGCTTTCAGAAGAAATACATGTTCAATAGTTAATAAAATCTATTTATCTGGACAGCATTAAAAAGCCCCAGCAAGCAAACCCACGTGCAACGTAGCAGCCTAGATGGCCACACTGCAACATCACTCTCCAGAGACTACCCTAAAAGCTATTCCAAGTACAATTTTTAGCTCCTTGTCCACTGATGATTTCTGACAAAACTTTGTATGCCTCTGGGATCTCATTACTCCTGATAGTCTTGTGCTTCCGCTGTGTGATTTACTTTAAATATTGCTGCTACAATTTCCCCGTCTTGTGAGAGGTAATTGTTCTCATAGATGCTCTTGGAAGTTGCCTTTTGCAGAATGAGAAGTGCAGATAGAGTCAGGCTGTTCTTCACAGCCGCTGTAGGTTTCAGGACTGGCAGAGCTATGGGCTGCTTTCACAACATCTGAGCTGCGACTTGCAGCTGAGACATTCTGATGAAACCACCTGAAGCGGTCAGAGGAGGTCATCAGAGGAGCGACAGCAAGCAGACTCTCAGAGGTTGGCAAATATGAACTGTGTAAGTTTTCTGATATTGTTCCTTTGTTTTGTTCAGGTGTGACTCTGATCCCACCTTTGAAAACAGGCATTTCTGGTGAGTGACTGTGGTGAGCTGTATGAATTTGGAAAAAACTCAGTTAGAGATTTTTCAGCCTTTGTTTTGGTTGGTGTCTTGTTTGCTTTTTTCCCCAGTTCTGTGCTGTTTCCAGAAAGATCTGCCAAAAGGATAATGTCAGTGTTAGAGGGGACTCAGGAGCTGATGACAGCCCTTCCTATGTGCTCAGTCTTGCACTGAGCTGTACATGTCAGCAGCAATGGTCACAACACACATGCTTCTTCCTCTGCTTCTGGAGGAACGTGGAGATGGGGATGGAGACACTAAAGAGCCTTTCCTCTGCTGTCCTAGTTGGGGAGTAGCCAGGAGGCGAGGCAGAGAGCTCAGGAGAAAGAACTGAGTGTCCTGTGATTGTCAAATAGAATTCAGACCCCAAAGGTCTTGCTAATATCACATGCAAGGCTACCACACATTTGCTGCCTTTATCTTCATGGGATTCTTGAGGTATCATTTCCATCACCCTCCTCAAATAAATAATCTGAGCTTGTTATTATATACGTCAATAATACGTTCTGATTTGGATAGCACCTGTTATTCCTCGAGGGAAGCATTGACTTTAAATGGAAACTGTCCCCAAAAAGACAGCAAAGGAAATATGTTTAATAGTTGACATACCAGTGGTCAGTATGTTTGTGTACCGACAATGTCCCGTGTCTAACGCCACAGCTGGTGTCTCTTTTCTGTGCTTCAGGTCCCGCCTACACGGTCTCTATGGGGAACAAAAACAATGTGACGGAGTTCATCCTCCATGGACTGACACAAGATAAGACAGCAGCAAAAGTGTGCTTCTTGTTATTCTTAGTCTTCTATGCTGCTATCATTCTTGGAAACCTGCTTATCATGATTACTATAAAGACAAGTGAGCAGCTGAACTCTCCCATGTACTTCTTCTTGAGCTACTTGTCTTTTGTAGACATCAGTTACTCCACTGTCACAGCTCCCAAACTCATTCATGACCTTCTCGTTGAGAAGAAGACCATCTCTTATGTGGGTTGCATTGCTCAACTGTTTTCAGCCCATTTCTTCGGGTGCACTGAGATCTTTCTTCTCACAGCGATGGCCTATGATCGTTGCATTGCCATATGCAAACCGCTTCATTACACAAACATTGTGACCAAGCGTGTCTGTGGCTGGCTGGTGGCATCTTCTTGGGTGGGAGCCTTTGTACACTCACTGGTGCAGACCCTGCTGGCCAGTCAGCTGCTGTTCTGCGGGCCCAACAAGATTGACCACTATTTCTGTGATGTTCACCCTTTACTGAAGCTCGCCTGCACCGACACCTACATCATTGGTGTCACTGTGGTTGCCAACAGTGGTGCGATTTCCCTGAGCTGTTTTGTTGTTCTCGTTGTGTCCTACGTTGTTATTTTGGTTTCTTTTTTTTTCGTCTCAAAGCACTCTATACATGTTCTTCCCACATCACTGTTGTAGTTCTGTTCTTTGGGCCATGCATTTTTATCTATATGCGCCCTTCTACCACCTTCTCCGCAGACAAGATGGTCTCTGTGTTCTACACCATCATCACACCTATGCTCAATCCCTTGATTTACACCCTCCGAAATAAAGAGGTGAAAAATGCCATGAAAAAGTTATGGAGCAGAAAAGTGCAGAGGAGCGAGAAATGAAACAACACGGTGCATGTTTGTAAAATTATGGGAGCTTAAGAAACCATGGGGAGGGAAATAGAAGTGTTCAGGAGAGACTTTCCGGTGACTTTGCTCAGTTTTTAGCACAGCTGTTCAGAACAGGGCTCACACTGAATTCAAGGTTTTACATAACTCATCTTCTTTGGAAACTGCAGGTCAAAAGGATGTGAGGTTACTGTCAGCTACCAAACCCGAGCACTGGGGGTGGTACTGTGGCATTTACTTTCAGGCACCTCATCTTGGGCATTTATCTAGGCTTCTCCCGGCATTTGGAGAAACAACCAAGTATTTTGAGAGGTTGTTCTTTCCTAATAGATCCTAAAACCTTCAGAGAGTAGCATCTCCTTGCATTTCTGCACAAAGGAGCGATGGTGGTACCAAGCTTCCAAGAGTAAACAAACCTTCCAGTGCAGCATAGCACTGGCAGCTTTCATCTCATATATTTTGGTGGGAAATGGTGGCCCAAGGTGTTTGCCCGCTGCTGGAAGCAATCCTACCACCGCTGTTTCCCTTTCCGCTTGTGATAAAAGCCTGGTTACGAATACTACATTGTCACATGCTGAGTCCTGAGTGACCTATTAAAAAGCTGATGCTAGGTGCACGTTTGGTCATTTGCTGACGCCAATAACAGGAAGGGAATCTTTTCTCCTTCCCCTACCAGTGCAACTCCCAGTAATAATGTTTCATATTATTATAGCTCAATGTCAGCACCATGATTCAAAAGCTCACCAGGCTAACAGCTGAAACCTTTCCTACAATGGTGAGTCGGGATGTTCCCATTTTTATGTAGCTGGTAACTCCTGGTGAATGTGCTATCTGCTTCAGTGTTGTTCTCCCTCCTGCCCTGGTTCCTCAAACACTCATAATCTAAGCTGTCCAGTGATAACAAATGTAAGAAATGCAAATGAATGCCCAGGTCCAAAAACCCTCCGGTACTATACACCTAAAATGATGGCTGTTCTTGCTCAGAGCAATTTCATTCAAAGGAGCCCTGCTGCCTGACACCTTTCTGAGATCTTGAGATTGTGACATAAGTGACCTCTATAATCAGTGATGACTGACAGAAGAGGAAGGTTTATCTTCCCTGCTGTTAGGGGGTAAAAAGACGTGTCACCAAGATTTCCTCTCTAGATTTCCAGGCTCTTCCTCACTGGAAGAGGCCACTCCTTTCACCTCCTGAAGATGCAGCAGAAATGGCCATAAAATTCAATAATCACATTTCTTCTTTTTCTAGATCACATGTGTTCAGAGACCAGTTTCCCATCTTTAAAGCTCATGCCATGTGATGGGTTTGCCTTGGCTAGCTGCTGGATGCCTGCCCAGCCCCTCTCTCACTGTCTGCAACAGGACAGGGAAAGAAAATGAGATAAAAAAGCTTGTGGGTTGAGATAAAGATAGGGGGATCTCTTGCCAAACAACATCCCAGGCAGAACAATCAGTTCAAGCTGATTTGAACTTGAGCCATAGCTCTCAGTGGCATATCACCACTGACATCTTTGGTCTGCCCAGACTTTCCTTTGTCTTGAGGAATGAACATTCGTATTTATCCTTCTCTCTCACCCTGATGAGGCATTGATCCAGTCTATCCCTGAGTGACTGCAGTTTCCCACCAGTGCTGCCTGTCCTAGCCCTGCAGCAACATTTCCTGGTGCCTGACACTGTCTCAATGCAAGGATTTGTAGTACAACCCTGCATCTATGTTTTTATGACTAGACACTTGGGTTTTTTTAATAAAAAAGGCTTCTGAGTGCTTAGAAGTGTGCGGTGTCTTATCCCGTCTTTCTCAGCCTTCAGAACTCCATGCGCAGAAGGTCATTGAGCAAATTGACTGCTGCTGCACACCAAGGGACCCAGCCACCAAAACTGCCTAATAAGGCCCTTGGGTAGCTGCTTAGAGTCTGGTAATGACACAGTTCTCAGAGGTCCAACTCCACTAGCGGAAAACTAACTTTTGCCTATGTGTGTTTCAGGGGTGTTTATATGTTGTGCTGGGAAGTGATGACTTTAGGGTGAAGGAAGACTTGAGAGGCACAGAGGTCAGTTCAAAAAGCCTTAGAGGTGTTGCCTCATTGGATTGTTCTGTCTAAATGGTAGATGGAAAACGAGACATTGATACCATCACAGGAAAATCTGCCTGTAACCTGTCAGGATCACTTGAAAACCTGAAACAAATCATTATGCAACAAGAAACTTAAACAAGAGCAAGGATATGGCAATTACAAGCAGGAGGAAGAAGAGTGGAACAGTGCTCTGACCTGTCGGATGAATAACTTGAAACAGATTTGGAGTGAATAATTTAAAATGTTTTCAGACAGCAATTGCTGTGGAGTTCAGCCTTGAAAGTTCATGTTGTGTCAACATTTAGTAACTGGGTACAGTAGTAACCTTTTTATCCTCTCCTTTGCTTATGCTCTTTGTATCAACTGTGGCATATTAAAGCACATGTGTGTGGTTGTGTTTGTTTATGTGAAAGGCAGAGAGAAATGTTTGGTAATCTGTTGAAAAATATACAGAAAAATGTAAATACTGCTGTGACTTTTTGGCCATTTGGATCCTTCAAGGCAGCTTCGTTCAGTGTTGATTGCATCATAGACATCTGCTCTCCATTTATACTCAAGGACAGATGTGCTGTCTTCAATGGTCATCTCACTGCAGTGTAATGGTCTAAGGAAGGGAAATCAAGTCATGCCTTTAAGGTGCTTATTGCTCTTCTTTGACTATACAGGGAGCCAGAGCTGTTACACCCAAACTGTGATGCCTGTTCTGCGGGTCTCTGTCTAGTACAACGTTCAGGGGTTGCTGTAGACAGTTCACCCTCTCTGCAGCTGTGCTAGCTCTGGCAGACTGCTGGGCCCTTGGGAGAGGCAGGGAGGAAGAAGTGGGATCATTTCTAAACTAGCGCTGTGAATTGCAGACATATATGCTGAATTATGCATGAAGCAAACCTGACTGATGAGAAAGAAAAACAGTCTTTGAGAACTAAAAGAAAGTGGTGGAGAATAGAGCAGGACCTGAGGAAAGTGCTCAGGCATTAGCAAAAGGCAAGAGGCGTGTATGAAAAAGAGACACTGCTTTCTTAGTAGTAATCTGCTTGATGACTTATAAACTCTTAGGCAAAATGAGCAACTAAAGAATTTCCTGGTGTGACCGTATATTAAAATAAGCATTCCTCTGCTGGTCACATTTTAAGCTCCATAAGACGGTGAGTGTATTTGTCTACTGAAGAACTTTAAAAACGACTCAGAGTGACAAAGAGGTAGAGAAACTGTGCAGAATTTTGCAGCTTCTGCTATGTTAGAAAACACAATTTCTTCAGGAGAGCACGTTCTCTTAACAGCAGGCTTCTGAGAGCATTCAAGCCACTCAACAGCTGCGAGCTCAATGGAGAGGAATACCAGTGAAGAACCTCCCAGACCTGGTTTATATTTCTAATTTCAGAGTGGACAAGCTAACTGGAGAGCCCTTTGGTCAATTAGAGGAATGCAATTAGGAGCAGAACACGGAATAACTCATGGTTGAGCCATATGTTGTAGACACAGTGCCTGAGCATGGCAAGCACTTGCTTCCATCACGGCAGAAACCTGAAAAGGGAGTGGGAAGGCAGGAGAGGAGAGGCAGGCAGTGCTCTTGGCAAACACTGCTCTCCATACTTTATGATATGACACTATGCTTTCTGTAGCAGGCAGAACAGCAGTAAATACATCCTGCACTCATCATCCATGGACCTTGGAGCTGTAGCACATCCTGTTCTCATCCTAGTCAGCCCATGACTCCACACCTCTGCTACGGGAGCCAGAGCTGAAGTGATGGCACCAGGAAACTTCTCCCAGGTGACTGAATTCATCCTCCTGGGTCTTTCAGATACAAAGGAACTGCAAGTCCTCTTCTTCGTCTTCTTCTTCCTGGCCTATGTCATGATTCTGCTGGGGAACCTTCTCATCATTGTGACAGTCAGGACTGACCCCAAGCTGTCCTCACCCATGTACTTTCTTCTCTGCAATTTGTCCTTCATAGATATCTGCTGCACCTCTGTCACCTCTCCCAGGATGCTGGTGGACCTGCTCTCCCAGAGGAAGGCCGTTGCCTTTGAAGACTGTATAGCCCAGCTGTTTTTTCTGCACTTCATTGGGGCGTCAGAGATGTTCCTCCTGACTGTGATGGCATACGACCGCTACACGGCCATCTGCAAACCCCTGCACTACACAACCATCATGAGCCGGCGGGTCTGCTGGGTGCTGGTGTCAGCCTGCTGGGCAGGGGGCTTCCTCCACTCCATTGTCCAGACGCTGCTCACAATCCAGCTCCCCTTCTGTGGCCCTAACAAAATCGACAGCTACTTCTGTGATGTGCCCTCTGTCATTCGGCTCGCCTGCACAGACATCTATGTCACTGAGTGGCTCATGGCTTCCAACAGTGGCTTAATATCCCTGGTTTGCTTCCTGGTGCTGGTCACATCTTACACGTTCATCCTGGTCACAATCAGGATCCGCTTCACCGAGGGGCACTGGAAGGCGCTCTCCACCTGTGCCTCCCATGTGATGGTCGTCACCCTCTTCTTTGTGCCCTGCATCTTCATCTACCTCCGTCCCTTCTCTACCTCCCCCTCCGACAAGCATATCTGTATGCTCTACACTGTCTTCTCCCCGGTGATGAACCCCCTCATCTATACCCTGCGGAATAACGAGGTGAAGGCATCCATCTGGAGATTGTGGAAACGCTGCAAAGTCTTCTGAGACAAGCTGGGCTTGCAGCAAACCCAGAATTACTCTCCTACAGACTAATGGCAGATTAGGGCATGGGAACAGGGTTGGAATCCAACACGCGGGGCAATACCTGAAATCCAAAGGATGTTTAGTTCCAGTTAAGGAATTTACCTAACCTTGGTTTCTTCAGAGCCATAGATTTTGTTGGTACCCTTACCTGTTTTGTGGGCTAACCCATCACAGTCCACCTATGGGTTTTTCACTGCTGCAGGACAG